CAAACTGTGCAGCTCTGCAACTGCATCCTGGCCCATCCTCACCCTTCTGCCCCCAACCCTCACCTCCTTGTACCCCCAATATGTTTTTCCCAATAAAAAAAATATTAAAAAAATATCTATTTGTGTTTTATTAACTATGCAAGAACATTTGACTATGTCGCACATAACAAATTATGGCTAACACTCAAAAAAAAAGAATAAGAATATTAGAACATTTAATAGTAGTACCCATGTGGAACCTATAAGAAGACCAAGAAGCTGTTGTCAGAACAGAACAAGGAAAGGGTGTGCATCAGTGTTGCACCCTTTCTTCCTACTTATTCAATCTGTATGCTGAGTAAATAATTTTAAAATTTGTACTATATGAAGAAAAATGTGGTATCAGGATTGGAGAGTTTAAAAAACCTTTTTTGCAGATGATACAATCTTGCTTGAAGAAAGTGAAGAAGTCCTACAACACCTGCTACAGAAAAATCAAGACTGAGGGCCTTCAATATGAATTACATCTCAACATCAAGAAAACAAAATTCCTGCTCAAACCCTCAAAATACATGAAAAAATGATGTTGTTAATGATTTTACTTGGATCCACTCTTGGTACCGGTAGTCAAGAATCAAAAAAGATGTGTTGCATTGGGAAAATCTGCTGTCAAGGAACTTTCCAAAGTGCTAAAGAGCAACAATGACAGCATAAAAACTAAGGTCCACATCCAAGCCATTGTATTTTTAATTCCTTCCTATGAATCTGAAAGTTGGACAATGAATAAGGATGACAGAAGAATCAATGCTTTTTTGAGTGGTGGTGTTGGAGCACAGGCACATGGATCACCAAAAGCTCAAACAAGACTGTGTTGGAGGAAGTGCCACCACAGTGCTCCTGAGAAGCAAGGATAATGAAACTTGGTCTCACATAATTTTGGCATTTCAGGAGGGGCCAGTCCTTGGAAAAGGACATCATTCTGGAAAAGGTCAAGGGTCAGAAAGAGAGAAAGCCCAATAAGAGAGATTAACACAGTGCTTACAACAACGGGTTTAAGCATATCAAGGATGGTGACGATGGTACAGGACAGGACAAGGTTCACATATCTTGTTCACGGGGTTGCTATGATGGCACCTAACAATAAAACCAGTCAATCAAAAAAAAAACAAAAACAAAAAAAAAATAGCCAGTCAATAAGAAAACCTCACCTCAGAGAAGGATGGTTCTTCAGCTGGCTCCAATCCTTCAGTGCACACAATGCAAGCTCTCTGGCTTCATACCAGTCCCCATTGGCCATAGCAGTAGAAATATCACTCAGCATGTGCACAGCTGCTGTGTATCTGGGCAGAAAGACAACTTGCAGATTTCAGATGTGAATGAGTACTCACACCAAAAACTATCATATTCCATCCACTAAGACTTATTTTGAAGAGTTAGTTATTTATCTACCATAAAATTGTTGTTATGTGCTGTCGAGTTGCTTGCGACTCTTAGTGACCCTATGTACAACAGCCCTAAACCATGCTCTATCCTGTGCCAATAGCAACTGCCTCTGACACACCCCATCCCAATTACCCCAGTCACTGAATCGATCCACCTCAAAGAGGGTCTTCCCCTCTTGCGCCGTCCCTTCACCCTCCCAAGCATGATGTCCCTCTCCAAGGACTGGTCCCTCCTTAGATCATGTCCAAAGTATGTCAGACAAAGCCCCAGAATCCTTCCCTCCAAGAAGCAGCCAGGATGAATCTGTTTGTTTTCTTGGCAGTCCATGGTACATTTAATACTCTTCTCCAGCACCACAGCTCAAAGGCATCAATTCTCCTTTTATCCTCCCTAGTCATTGTCCAACTCTCTGATGTGTAACAAGTAATTGCAAAGACCATCGTCAGTATCAGATGCACCTTAGTCTCCAGAGAGACATCACTGCTCTTCAGTACTTTGGAGAGGTCCCTAACATCAGATTTTCCCATCGCAATACATCTTTTGATTTCCTGGCTACTGGTGTCAAGTGTTGACTGTGGAGTCAAGCAGATTAAAGCTCTTAACAATCTCAGTCTCTTCACCATCCATCCTGATGCTGCCAATTGGTCCAGTGGTGAGAATCTTTGTCTTCTTGACATTGAGCTTCAATCAATACTGAAGGATGCAGTCCTTGACCCTCTGCAGCAAGTGCTTCAGGTCCTCCTCATTTTCAGCAAGCAGGGTTGTGTCATCTGCATAGCACCACACTTCTCATAGAGCCCAGCCTCCCGAAAAATCTGTTCTGCATACAGGTTGTAAAGGTATGGAGATAGGACACATACCTGGCATACACCCTTCCCAATTTTGAACCATGCAGTGTTTCCTTGCTCTGTTCTGATGACTGACTCTTGGTCCAAGTATAGGTTTCGCATTAACACCATCAAGTGTTCTGGGATTCCCATTCTTCTCAGAGTCAGCCACAGTGTTATAATCAAATGCCTTTGCATAATCAATGAAACACCGATAGACATTCTTCTGGTATTCCCATCAGCTACAATATTCTTAGTACCACGACCCCATCTAAACCCAGCCTGGACTTCTGGCAGTTCTCTGCTGAAGTGCTGTTCCAGTCATTTTTGGATAATCTTCAGTAGAATCTTGCTTGCATGTGAAATCAACGATATTGTTCTATAGTTTTCACACTTTGTTGGGTCACCCTTCTTTGGGATGGGAACAAATATAGATCTCTTCCAGTCAGCTGGCCAACTGGTTGTTCTCCAGATTTCTCACAACTTGGTGAGCATATCCAGGGCAGCCTCCATTAGCTGAAATACGTCAGTTGGTATACCATCTATTCCTGGGGTCTTATTTTTTGCTATTTTCTTCAAAGCAGCTTGTACTTCTTCCTTCATCACCATAGGCTCTTGCTCATGTTATTTCATTAAATTCTTTTGTGTCTGCCAACTCCTTTTGACACAGTGACTACAATGAAGGTTATATTATCTTCCTTCATGAAGCTCTGATAGAGTAGTTGGTAGAGAGTTGTGCTGCTAACCTAAAGGCCACCCATCATTATGGCAGTCTGAATACACCATCAACAAGAAATATGAACAACCTCCTCTGTGCTAAACCTCCTGCTGGATCAGCTGTGAGCTGGTTCTGACTTGATGGCACTGAGTCTGGCTCCATCTCACACAAGAACCTCTGGTCCAAAGGACACACTATTCTCTGCTTCTTTTCTTTTGATGGTAATGAGATTTCTGTTTTCCGTCTCTGAACCTGATGGGATGGCAAAACTGACCAATTCCATCATTAGTGGTCTACACACATTATTTTTACATTTCCACCTAAAAAATACTGAAGGACAACTACCTGGCCAACTGACTGGAAGAGATCTCATATTTATTCCCCTTTCAAAAATAGATGATCTCACAGATTGTGGAAATTATCTAACTTTTCACTAATATCACACACAACCTGCTAAAGATCACCCAAAAACGACTGGAACAGCAACATCAACAGAGAACCACCATGCACAGGGTACACTGAGAAGAGGCCGTGGCACTAGGAATATTATAGCCAATGTTAGGTGGATCTTGGCTGAAAGCAGAGAGTATCAGAGGAATTTCTGTTTTTCATTGACTATGCAAAGGCATTTGACTGTGTGGATCAGAACAAACTGTGGCCGACTCTGAGAAGAATGGGAGTCCCAGAACACTTGATTGTGCTTACGCAAAACCTTATTTGGATCAGGAGGCAGTCATCAGAACAGAGCAAGGAAACACCACATGGTTCAAAATGAGGAAAGATGTATGCCAGGGATGCATCCTATTTCCATACGTTTTCAACCTGTATGTGGAACAGATCAACCAGAAGGCTGGACTTTACAAGGGAAGTGGCATCAGAATTGAAAGAAGACTCATCAGCAACCTGTACTGATTACAGATCCTTGCTTGCTGAAACTGAGGAGGACCTTAAGCATTTGCTGCAGAAGGTCAAGGACTATATATATAGTCTTCAAAATGGATTAAAGCTCAACATCAAAGAAAACAAAGATTCTAATCAGTAGGCCAATTGGCAGCATCACAGATGGAAAAGAGATTGAGATCGTTAACAGTTTCAGCTACCATGCTCGGCTTCACAATCAACATTCTTGGCACCAGCAGCCATAGAATCAAAAGACAAATTGTCTTGGGAGAAAATCTGCTGTCCAGAGTACTAAAGAGAATGATGTCAGTCTAGAGACTAAGTCATGATTTTCACAATTGCATGCTATGCATCAGAGAGCTAGACAAAGAATAAGGATGACAGAAGAAGAATATATAGATGCCTTTGAGTTGTGGTGCTAGAGAAGAGTATTAAATATACCATGGACTGCCAAAAGAACAAACAGGATTGTCCTGGAGAGGAAACCAAGCTGTTCTTCAGAGGAAATAATTTTCAAGCTCCATCTCACCTACTCTGAGCCCATGGCAAGGAGGGACCAGTTCCCAGAGAAGTATATCATGCTTGGAAGGGTGGATGGACAGCACAAGAGAGGAAGACTTTGGATGCAATGGATTGACTCAGTGACTGGGGTAATAGGGGAAGTGTGTCAGAGACAATGAAACTGGCTCAAGATAAAACAGACTTCGGAGCTGTTGTACACAGGGTCACTATGAGTTGTAAGCAACTTGAAGGCATATACCAACCAACCAAAAAGTGCCATTCATCTTATTTACATTATTAGGAAGCTATCCAATCCCCTGGGTGGTGACATAAACTTCTCACATTTGCTTAGTCTTAACCAGCCACATGGTTAAAGTAATAACAGCAAGAAAAACCATATTGAAAACCATAGTACTAGAGGTTTCAGTGTTCTATAACAGGCTCACTGGCATCAAGTCAGTTCCAACTCACAACTACATTCTACTGTGTTTCTAAGGTTATAACTGCCAAAAGGAGGAGACTGCCAGTCTTTTTCTTGACAAGTCACTTGTGGATATGAACCCTAGATACAAGCAGGCTTTGGGTTAGCAAACTCCATCAACTCCATCAGAGTTCCCTTACTGTTACATTCTAGTTGTTGGAGTGCAGCTCCTTACTACAAGGCCATCATTCAAAATAGTAAAAATGATAGAAACAACCTAAATACCCACTGAAAGATTAATTAACATGTGGTATTCAAATACTATGGAATACTACTGAGCATTTTTTAAAAAAGTACTGAAGTATCTTGGAATGAGGATGAACCTGAAGACATTAAGTTGAATGAAATAATCAAAAGAAAGCAAAAATGTTGTATGTCCTCTCATGAAAATGCATACTTATTAGTTATTAGCAGAAATGAAGGGTTAACAGAGATTTACTTTACAGACAGTAGACACTATTTCTGGTGATGTTAAAAGTACAACAAATGAGTAGAGTATGCACAGGTAAATCATGTCATTAAAAAGTATACAAGAAAAAAAGTCCTACTGGTAATTGCTATGGCATATATAATTTTTAAACAACAGCAATAACCAAAATATAGATTTGTGTGTATGTTGGTACATGCACAGGTATTTTTGTGTATAATTGTGTTGATGATATGAACATATTGCTATTAAGTGCTATTGAGTTGCCTGTGATCCACAGCAAACTTATGCATAAAAGCTCTGAACCCTGTCCTATCCAGAGTCAATCCCACTATCTCTGATCTCTTACCCCATTACCCCACTTCCTGTGTCAATCCATCTCATTCAGGATCTTCCTCCCCTGCACTGTCCCTCCACCCTTCCAAGTATGATGTCATTCTCCAAGGACTGGCTGCTCCCAGCAACATGCCCAAAGTTTATGAGACAGAGCTTCAAAATCCCTGACTCCAATGAGCAACTTGGTTTTACCTTCTCCAAGATAGATCTGTTTGTTCTCTTGGCAGCTCATGGTATGTTGAATACTACTCTCCAGAACCACAACTCAAAGGCATCGATTCTTCTGCTGTCATCCTTAGTCACTGTCCAGCTCTCTGATGCATAGCAAGTTACTGTGAAGATCATAGCCTGGATCAGGTACACCATAGTCTCTAGAATGGCAATTCTGCTCTTTAGAATTCTGGAGAGGCCCCTGACAGCAGATTTTCCTAATGAAATTGTCTTTTCATTTCCTGACTCCTGGTGCCAAGAGTGTTGATTGTGGAATTGAGCAAGTCAGAACTATTAACTATCTCAAATCTCTTCTCCAGCATGGTGCTGCTAATTGGCCCAGTGGTGAGAATTTTGTGTTCTTAATATTGAGCTTCAATACATACTGGAAACTACAGTCCATGATCTTATGCAGCAAATGCTTCAGGTCCTCCTCAGTTTCAGCAAGTAAGGTTGTGTAATTCTGATGCCACACTCCTCCTCATAGAGCCCAGCCTCCCAAATGATCTGTTCTGCATATAGATTGAAAAGATATGGAAACACGATATGCCCCTTATGCACTCCTTTTCAGATTGTCAATCTTGCAATGTTTCCCTGCTGTGTTCTAACTAACAACTGCTTCCTGGTCTAAGTACAGGTTTCACATGAGCACAATTAACATGTTGCCGCAAATGATGAAAATGATGGCTAAATGTGTTTCTAAGCATGGACGTCAATTTAAAAGCGTGTGGCAATGTGTTAAAATACTGTGGAATTCTCTTTCTTCTCACGGTTAGCCACAATTTGTTGTGATCCACACAGTGAAATGCCTTTTCAAAGTCAATGAAACAGTTACACAGATAGATATTTTTCTGATACTCTCTGCTTTCAGCATGGTGTGACAGCCTCTTTTAAACCCAACTTTTATTTTCGGTGGTTTTCTGCTGATGTACTACTCCAGTCACTTTTGGATAATCTTCAGCAGGATTTTGCTTGCATGTGGTATATGAGCCTATACATAATATATAAGTGTATATACATATGTACAGCCAAACAGATTTACATATATTTATATAAATAATAAAGTATATACAGGGCCCAGTTATAGACATTTCTTAAGACACAGCCAAATATATCTCACATAATTGGTTTTTTAAGTTTGAGTAATTGAGACTTTAGACTCATGGCCTTGGTCATTTGCAATAATTTAGTTTATAAAGTTATATTCTATATTCTAGTATGTTGAGTAATGTCTGAGACCTTAAATAAAAAAACTCGCAAATAGTCATGTAGGATACGACCAGTGAGTAGGAACTGAAAACGCTGTAGTTATGTTTCACTAAACACGGAGCTCTGGTGGCTTTGTGGTAAGGAACTGCACTGCCAAAACAAAAGGTATACAGCTCAAATCCACCAGATACACCATGGGAGAAAGATGGACAATCTCCCCCCATGTGATTTATGGTCTCTAAAAACTCACTGGAGAGTCAGCTACAGCTCAGTTCCAACTCTACTACAAACAACAAAACCTAGTAAGAAATTACTTGAAAAGGGAAGAAAAAACTCCACATGCCCTACCAAAGCTTTTTGGGATACACACTAGAGAGAATTGTGGAAACTCACCTGTCATTCTTAATCTAAACACATTTCTATATTCTTCATAATGTGTATGAGTGAAGCAAAAAAAGACAACCAAAAGAGTTTAAACACTGTTTTGCTGTGATTTCTATTTCCACTGTGGATGACAAAAGTAAATAAATGAAAACTTTTACATTAATGAAAATGCACTCTGAGCTAACATCTTACCTGATAAGATCTTCTCTGTCTTGGAAGATTTTGTTTTTCCGATTAATGGTGTAACTCGGGAACTCCATTCGGCCAAGGTTGACCAGTAATACAGCAGAGAGCTGTCCCTGTCCACCACATGCTGCTTCTTCATCTTCCACTGAACCAGTCAATGAAAACAGAAGCAACATCCGAGAAAACACAGCCCGGGGACCTTTACTGACTTTTAGGGACTGGCCAGCCAAGTCTTTAGCTCTGAAAAATGTACAATAAAGAAATGTTATTCTTCTTCTAGACATACAGCTATCAAGATTTCACAACTGATTTTCAACTTAATTTAAAATAAAAAATACCATTTATTATTCCAAGCCTGAAGCAACAAAATGTAGTAGCCTTTTAGGAATTATAAATCTTTTTCTTCTACCTATGTGATTCTCTTGATTACTTAACTTCTCTAGCCACCCAATAAGGATTAAGTGAACTAATATCAGCAAAGGGAATGCTGGCAGTGAAGTGTTAAGAAGCTGTGCTGCAATATTTTAAGTGAAATAATTGGGAAAGTCTGCTGTCAGAGTCCTCATCAAAGTACTGAAGAGCAACGACATCAGTCTAGAGACTAAAGTGCGCCTGATACAGGCCATGGTCTTTGCAATTATTTGATTGTTATGCATCAGAAAGTTGGACAATGACTAGGGATGATAGAAGAACTGATGCCTTTGAGCTGTAGTCCTGGAAAAGAGTATTGAATGGACTGCTAGGAGAACAAACAAGGTCATCCTGGAGAGGGTGAAAATAGGCTACTTCTTGGAAGCAAGGCTTCTGAAGCTTTGTCTGACATACTTTGGACATGTTGCAAGGTGGGCTCAGTCCTTAGAGAGGGACAGTGCAGGAGAGGAAGACCCTCAGTGAGATGGATTGACTCAATGACTAGGGTAATGTGGGTAGGTATATCAGAGACAATAAGATTGGCACAGGATAGAGCAGGTTTAAAGGCTGTTGTACATAGGGTTGCTACGAATCACAGGCGACTCAATGGCACATAACAACGTCAACAAAGGGAATTCTGGAAGTGTAGTCTGAGGGAGTTGTGCTGCCAACCCTAAGGCCCAAGGTTCAAATCCATCCTAAGTTCCTTGGGAGAAAGAAGCAGTCTCCTCCTATACAATTTATAGCCTCTGAAAAACCAGAGGGTTGGCCATGAGTCAGTTCTAACACAAGAAAACAGAACCTCAAATTCACCTAATTTAGGTAAAAGTGTCTTTTCCCAAGGTCAGAGTACGATATGGGTTACTTTGGTTGTGAAGATTTGAAATATTTAAAAAAACCCCTATCATAAATTACTATGTATTCATCCTCTCCCCTTTACTATATTCAAGCTGGAATCCACTCATAGCTGACATTCCATTAAGTTTCTGAGGCTGTAAATCACAGGGGAAGAGATTGCCCATTCTTCTCCTTTGGAGCCGCTGGTGGATTCAAAGCAGGGAAACATGGTTTTTCAGTTAGTAGCACAACTCCTTATGAACTAGCCACCAGAGTTCTTTTATTTAATATCAGCAATTCTCAATTCTTGAGTGAAGCCACTTTTTAAATATTAATTGAAAAAGAAGTTCTGGTAGATCGTTGTTGATGTTGTGTACCATCGAGTCAGAACCAATCCACAGTTAACCTAGTGGGTTTTCAGAGGCAGTTAATCACATAGGAGGAAACTGCGATCCTTCCAGAGTAGCTAATGGATTTGAACCACACTCCTTCAGGACTGCAGCACAGCTTCTTATTACTACTCTACCAACACTCCTTTGGTTGACATTATTTCACTTAAACTTTATTGGGTCCCCAGAGAAGTAATCAACAGAATCACGCTAAAAGAGATTTATTTTTTTATTCTTGTGCTGCAAAACTAAAGGCACACAGTTTGAATCCACTGATTGCTCCGAGGGAGAACAATGGGCAATCTTCCAAGAAATTTACTGCCTCTGAAAACAAACTGGAGAGTCAGCTATAGATCAGTTCCAACCTCAATGGCACTCAACAATATTTATTTAAAATGCCCTTACACTGGCTTTTGGGAAAGCATGGCATTCTCTACACCAAGATGTGAAACAAGTCTACACTAAATTTAGATGCAAAGCAGTCCATGAGTATATTTATATCAAAGAACAGCTTTAGAAGAATTTAGTTCAATTCTGGATGACTGGGGTTGGAGGTCTATAGCTATGTTTCACATCAGCACTAGTTACATTTGGCCAAGTAATTTTTTTTTGTTACAATGACATATTCTGTACTTTGGAGGATATTCAGCAGTTTTCTTGTCAACAATCCAAAAGACACCAGTAGCAGACTACATTTTCCTAACTGTGACAATCAAAAACTGTCCCCAGACCTTGTCTGGAAGTAAGTATGTCTCCTGGGAGTAAAATTAACCTTTTTGACACCTGGTGACCTCATCCTTGGAGTGTGACAGAGATTAGTGACTGGAGAGAGCTGGAGATGATTCCTACCAAATCACCATTTAACAGAATCACTGGGCTTCAGGGACAGCCAAAAGTGTTTCTGGGGCTGGCCTCAGTAGCTCAAGCTTCCAAGCAACACAAGTAAGAATTAAACATGGAAAATTGAGAAGCTGACTCTCCACTAGATCACTAGATTTTTCAAGAACCACATGATCCTAGCAATTGAAGCAGAAAAGGCCTTTGACAAAATCCAACACCCCTTCCTGATTAAAATACTCAGCAAAACAGGAATAGAAGGGAATTTCCTCAACATAATGAAAAGTAAATACACAAAACCAAGAGCAAATATTCTCAATGGATAAAGACTAAAAGTATTCTCTTTGTGAACAGGGACCAGACAAGGATACTCACTGCTTACACTCTAATTCAATCCTGTATTGGAAGTGCTTGCTAGGGCAATATGACAAGAGAAGGAAATAAAAGGCATCCGGATCAGCAAAGAGATGGTTAAACTATTTCTACATGCAAATAATATTATAGTGTACACAGAAAACCTCAAGTACTTAACAAAAATCTGTTAGAGCTAGTAGACCAATTTAGTAGAGTGGCAGGATAGAAGCTCAATATCCAAAGTCAGTGGGATTCCTGTACAGTAACATAGAAACCTCAGAGAAGGAAACCAAGAAACCAACACCATTTACAATAGCCAACCACAAATTGAGATACTTAGACACAAAAGACCTTTACAAAGAAACCTACAAAATATCTAAATGATTAGAAAAATGTTCCTGTTCATGAAGACTCAATGTAGTGAAAATGACAGTCCTACCAAAAGCCATCTACATGTTTAATCCAATCCCAATACTGATCAAATTCCTTTCTCAAAGAGATAAAAAAGGCAACTGGCAAGTTTATTTGAAGAGAAAGAGATCTCGAATAAGCAAAGCACTTCTGAAAAAGAAAAATGAAGTGGGAGGCATAGCACTCCCTGACCTCAAAACCTACTACACAGCTCTAATAACCAAAATAGCAGGGTACCAGTACAATCCCAGGCACACAGATCAATGGAACAGAATCAAGAACTCAGAAATTAACCCATCTACCTATGGCCATCTGATACTAGACAAGGAAACAAAATCTATCATATGGGGAAACGAAAACCTCTCCAACAAATGATGCTGCAAAACTGGACTACTACCTACAGAAAATCAACACAGGATTCACACTCTGACCATACGCAAAAATCAAGGTGCATCAGAGATCTAGGAGTAAAGGCCAAACCATAAAGTTCATCAGAGACAAAGTGGGACCAAGCTTAGAAGGCCTAGTCTAAGGTATAAAAAGACTGCCAAATACAGACAGAAATGCACAATCTGGAGAGGATAAAATTGATGAATGGGACCTTCTTTTTATTTTTTTTAATAGGAACTTCTAAAGATTACATCCCCTACATCTCTGTGTGTATCAAAGCTTTTTCCAATATGGCGAAAAGCAAACTGACTACCTAGTAAAAAGCTTTGGCAGTACAATCTCAGACAAGGGTCTCATAAAAAAATGTACAGAACTACAAAGTTACCACAAGAAAAAGACTACTAACTCTGTTACAACATGGGCAAAAGACATTGCTCAAAATCACTGGCTATGAGAGGTGCACATTAAAACCCCAATTAGATACCATCTCACTCCAGTAGCAGTGACAAAACTGAACAAGACAGCAAACAATAAATGTTGGAGACTATATGGAGAGATAAGACATTCTCACACACTACTGGTGGGATTGTAAAATGGTACAACCACTCTGGAAGGCAGCTTGGCATTTCCTCAAAAGGGTGAACATAGAAATGCCATATAACCCAGCTATTCCACTGCTTGAAATATACCGTGAGAAAATTAAAACTGAAACACAAATGGAAATTTGTACACCAATGTTCATAGCAGTGTTATTCACCATTGCAAGAACATGGAAACAGTCCAAATGTCTAACCACAATCAAATGGATTGAGAAACTGTGGAATATTTACACAATACTATGTAGCACTAAAGGACAATGATTTTGAAAATTACTACATAACTTGGGAAAGACTAGAGGGCATTATGTTGAATGAATCAACTCAGTCTCACAAGGACAAATACTTCTACATTATTGTAGAAATAGAAATAAAATGTGTAAGAGGATCCAAGTAAGGGAGGGTGAGAACAGACAGGTGAGGATGGGCAAGGGGGATATCACAGAGTTGCACATTTTGGTGAGTGAAGGGAAGGGTGGATAAAGGAAATGGGAAAGATCAGGCAGGGTTCTTGACAGACCAGGCAATGGGGGCATAGTTCAATGATAATTAGTTTTATAAAACATAATGAATGGGAATGGTTATAAGAAACACAACGTGAATGAAGGATAATGTGAGAAACAACGTATATGAACTTTTAAAGTAAACGAATAGAAACTTTTTTTTAAGAAAAGGCTTTTTCCTGTTTCCTTGTAGTGACAGTAGAGAAGACAAACCAAGTACTGTCCTGATGCAGAACTGTTAAAGATACTGAAATTCCACTGTTGAGGCCTACAACAAAATGAAGACATTAAGTACAAGCTTTAAGAATTGCTATTTAAAAAAAAAATTTAAAAAAAAAAAAGAATTGCTATTTTATGTATACCTAAAATAGCCATAAAACCTTACTTTCCTTTGAATTTAAAATCAGTGATGAAAAATTATGCTTTATTTCTTTTGTTACATGTGTTCAACAGAGTGTGGAAATTATCGAACAATATCACTGATATCACATGCAAGCAAGATTCTGCTGAAAATTATACAAAAACGTCTGGAACAATATGTCAACAGAGAACTGCCAGATGTGCAGGCTGGATTTAGAAGAGGCCGTGGTACTAGGGATATTATAGCTAATGTCAGATGGATCTTGGCAGAAAGCAAAGAATACCAAAAGAATGTCTATCCGTGCTTCATTGACTATGCAAAAGCTTTTGACTATGTGGATCACAACAAGCTGTGGCTGACTCTAAGATGAATGGAAATCCCAGAACATTTGATTGTGCTAATGCGAAACCTATACTTGGACCAGGAGGCAGTCATCAGAACAGAGCAAGGAGACACTACATGGTTCAAAATCAAGAAGGGGGTCCATCAGGGATGTATTCTGTCTCCATACCTTTTCAATCTGTATACAGAACAGATCATTCAAGACGCTGGGCTATACGAAGAGGAATATGGCATCAGGATTGGTGGAAGAATCATCAACAACCTGCGTTATGCAGATGACACAACCCTGCTTGCTGAAACTGAGGAGGACCTGAGGCGCTTGCTGCAGAAGATCAAGGACTACAGCCTCCTATATGGACTGAAGCTAAATGTCAAGAAAACAAAGATTCTAACCACTGAGCCAATTGGCAGCATCAGCATGGATGGTGAAGAGATTGAGATAGTTAACAGTTTTAATTTACTTGGCTCCACAATCAACGCTCTTGGTAACAGCAGCCAGGAAATCAGGAAACAAATTGCATTGGGAAAGTCGGCTGTGAAGGACCTCTCAAGAGTACTGAAGAGCAACGATGTCAGGCTGGAGACTAAGGTGTGCCTGATCTGGGCTATAGTCTTCGCAATTATGTGCTATGCATCAGAGTTGGACAGTGAATAGGGCTGACAGAAAGAGGATTGATGCCTTTGAGTTGTGGTGCTGGAGAAGAGTGTTGAATATACCATGGACTGCCAGGAGAACAAACAGGTTTGTCCTGGAGAGGGGGAAGCCAGAGAGTTCCCCGGAGTCAAGGATTCTGAAGCTTCGTCTGACATATTTTGGGCATGTTGCAAGGAGGAACTGGTCCTTGGAAATGGACATCATGCTTGGCAGAGTGGAGAGGAAGCGAAGGAGAGGAAGACATTTGGTGAGATGGATCGATTCTGTGACTGGAGCGGTGGGAATAAGTGCGTTTGAGATGGCTAGGTTGGCACAGGATAGAACAGCACTTAGAGCTCCTGTACAAAGGGTCGCTATGAGTCGCAAGGGACTCGATGGCACATAACAACAATAACAACAACATGTGTTCATATGCTAAGTGCTCAGAGTCAGGGGAGGGTTGTGAATTTTAATGTTTATTTGCATCTAAAGAAGCTACATTTAAGATTAATAAAATAATGTAAAAAGAACTAAAGGCACTTATAAAACATTTTAAATAACAAAGAGATGAAATTAATTCAATTAAGTATAAATATATACTTCATTTTTTAAAAAATTAATCTAATACTTATTGTATCTATATTCTATTAATCCTTATTGTATCTATATTCTATTATGGATTATCACTTATAACTATCTTGCTAACAAGAGTGAACTCAGTTCAATTTTAGATACATGACATTCAAAGGTACAAGCAGACAAATAAATAATGCTGACATAAGTTTTCAAGTGTTTTTTAAAAGCATCATTTTGGGGGAGCTCTGGTGGCCTAGTGGCAAGAGGCTGCACTGCAATCCCAGAGGTACACGGTTCGAATCCACCAGATGCTCTACCGGAGAAGGAGGAGCAATCTCCTCCTGTACCAGTCAGATCTGATTTGACGGTACACGCACACAAAATTTAAAAAAAAAAAAGCATCATTTTCACTGCAGTCCCAGAGGTGTGCGGTTTCAATCCACCAGACGCTCTGCTGGAGAAGGAGGTTCAATCTCCTCCAGTACCAGACAGATCTGATTTGAAGGTACACACACAAAGATAATAAAATAAACAGACAAACAAAAAAGCATCATTTCATATCATCTCCAAGCATACCAAAAGGGTGTGTTTCCACACTAAGACTGACAAAGTTTCATTTTATAGCTAGAAGGGCAGGAGAAACAAAACTCCAAAAATGTGCCACAATCTTCCTCAAACTAATTCAAAGGCTTAATGATTTTTTTTACCCACCTACACTTTTTGGTAACTTTTCTATAATTTTATCAAAGAAAAGCTGTATGTTAAGATTAGGCTGACTGTATTTTAATTTAAAAAGTTACTAAAAAATTTTAGTTCTAAAATCTTAAAAATCAGTTAAAACTCTTTTTCCTGAATAATGAAATACCAGAATTGATCCTAAGGTCTACTGCTTTGCTACTGCCTACTCATTTTTTTGTTTTAGAAATCATTGTAGTAGCATAAAGTTTTGTTGTGCCATCAAGTCAGAACCAACTCATAGCTCACCCGTTAGCAGGTTTTCAGAGGCAGTTAATCGCATGGGAGGAGATTGCCCATTCTTCTCCTATGGAAAAGCTAGTGGATTTGAATTGCATGCTTTCGGGATTGCCGCACAGCCTCTTACCACTAGACCACCAGAGTTCCATATAACAAGTCTTAGGAATAATAAACCAAGAAAGAACTCAAGCTATTATATGAAGACGTTTCCAACCTTTTTAATGTAATTTCAACTGAAATAGTCTCAATTGGGGAAAATGTACAAATTACTATAAGTTAACATGTGCTATTAAAAGTAAAAATGTCTCTATGTAGTAATTAGTCAATAAAACCTTTTTAAAATCACAGTTCCAATTCCAGGCTGATTCTGGCCCCAAGTGAAGACTGGACGTTGCTTGGCCAACTTCAGGAAGGAATCCACTAACTGCTTCTTCTGTCCATTGGGATTCACTAGGTGAAAAATCTTTGCCAGGGCTTTCAGTTCAGGAGCAGAAAGTAGCTCAAGCACTTCAGAGAGTTCTTGCAATTCAGATTCTGAAATGGTTATTTTTTTAAAAGTAGCTTTTAAGAATCTTAATTATTTTGAACTTATTTAGAAAGTATACTTAAATTATAAAATTCTATTTTGTAAATTTTTAATTCACTTGCCTAGTCAGTTTGAGGTTCATAATTTCTGACTACAAAGAAACAAAGCTAACAATGCATAAAGACAGCCATTATAGTTGAGGTATCTTCATTAAGGCTCACTGGAGCGTCTACTGGGATCCGTGAGCTGGACATCCAAGTCCTCATAGAAACCTAGAAAAAAGGACTGGCAATCCACTTTAATCAGCCAGGAAATTGCTAAGTAGCACAGTTCAATTCTGACAGGCATGGGGACACCATGAGTCTAAATCAAACTGGACAGCAAGTGGATTTTGTCATCTCAAAACTTCCAAAGAGGAGTAACAAGGACAATCAGCTAATCTTCTTTACAGGCTCCTTTCTCCCTGCTCACATGCCACAAGGTGGGAATCCTTTCCTTCTGGACAGGTTCACAGATTCATCACTCAACACAAGTAACTATTAACTGACCCAGACACCCCAAAAGACTCCAAGTCAGCAGTGAATGAGACTTGGTCTTTGCCTTCAGTGCATGTGCAATTTGGAGAAATGTTTTCCTAAACATTTACTGAATATGAACTAGGTGCCAGAGAGGGTTTTCAGGTCCTGGGCACACTATACTCAACAAAATAAGGTCCTAACCCACAAGCTTAGATTTTAGCCTAAGAAATAAATCTGTATGTCAAGTGGTGATCCCTGCCATACACAAAACTGGGTCAGGTACACTGACCATGGCAACGAGGTGGACACTCTGTCTTCTAGGCTGGCCAAGCAACTCTCGAGATAGAGGGGAAATGTGACTATAATCTGTGGAGTGTGTACCTATAAAGAGCAAGTACAAAATCATGAAAATGAGAAGTCTCAGTGCACAGAAAAGCGGCTAATGAAACAGTGTGGCTGCCAGAGTGTTTGAGGCAGCAGAGGTGAGATCAGAATATAGCTAGGGTACATCTGCCTGATCCAGTACCCTCAACTTCCTTCACCGAGCCTCCATGACTCTCCCTGCCTTTCCTAATCTCCACCCTCAATCCAATCCTCTGACTTCACTGTAACAGTCACTGGAGAGCTCTGGCGGCATAGTGGCAAGAAGCTGCACTGCAATCCCAGAGGAGCACGGTTCAAATCTACCAGATGCTTTGCTGGAGGAGGAGGAGCAATCTCCTCCTGTACCAGTCAGATCTGATTTGACAGTACACACACAAAACATAATAATTAAAAAAAAATAAAAAATTATATATTTTAAAAACTCATTGCTGTCAAGTCAGAACCAGCTTACACTGACCCTAAAGTGGGTTTCCAAGACTATAAACATCACAGAAGACAGTCCATCCTTAGCAGCTGGTAGATTCAAATCTATTTTTGGGCTAGCAGGGCAACTCCCTCCAACTATTCCACCAGAGCTCCCTAGGCAACTTCACTGCCCTAAACATGGGACTTTCTAAAGAGTAATCTTAACCCAGGCCCAAAGTGTGCTTATCATCACAAAATTATAATTTAAAAAAATAAATTACCAAGAATCAACCAGGAAATAATATCATACTATCATTCTACAAAAACTTCATTCTTCACAGTATTTTAGTTTTACATTTCTTTCTCCTAATCATACCTGTCTGAACAAAGCCTGCTTTCTTCAATTCTTCAATTATAGGTGTTAAATCTGAGGCAATCTCTTCATATTCTAATTTGCTAATTTTAATCCAGTTTAATTTGCGTTGAAAAAGTCTTACATATAACTTCTGACCACTCTCTACAAGAAAGAAAAAAAAAAGAAAATATTTTCTTTTCTAACACAATTTACAAATATCATTTACTTTTTAAACTGTGGAGAGTAATATATACTGTATTACAAATACCCATACGCCTACTGAACAGATTTTAAATCTCCATTTCCTGGAAGATGCTATTTCATACATCACGCTGCTGTAAAGATGCCCTGCTGCTTGCATACTGAGCAGAGGCAGGAGGCCCTGGGCCAGATCTGCTGCCTGAGTTGTGTGTATGTCACTGACCATTACAGAGTTTCTTCTCCAGCAGGGCAAGAACAAGTCCTCAAAGCCGGTAGAAAACTAAACTATATACTCAAAACACCCTCAAAGATAACTTTAAAAAGTCAAATGTTATATTACTGGTCATTCCATTTCATAACTTTCTGAAATCAAGTTCCCCACTTTCCAGCAAATGTTTCACCCCTGTATTCTAGCTATTTTGTTCTCTGCTTAAATATTATTCTAATTCTAAATACATTTTATAGGAATTATAAAAAACTCATGTTGGTGAAACTAGTAAATCAAGTTCTCTGGTCTTATTTCCCTACTACATAGAAGTTATCTTTAAAATTACTTTCTCTCTAAAATGATATAGCTACAAAATTTCAACCCTGATTTTAAGAGGCAAAGCCAATTAGCAATAGTTATTTTTATACACAGAAACATTGTAAGCAACTCTCCTTGAACATCAGTTTACAAGGAACCTACATTTGGAAAACTTCCTATTTCTCAACAATACTCAAGCCCAGAGTCATCAAGTATCCAAACATCCACATTCATCAGTACCTAACCAAAACCTGAGGCTATCTTGAAGGAAAAGCTGACTTGCTATGGTGGTATAGCCCATGATGAGAACCCTGGAAGCAGGGTGGGTACAAAAAAAGTGTACCCAGAGAAGCCTTTTTCAGATTTCAAGAAATGCAGTAGTCATTTTACTATATGAATTTTAAAACAAAAGTATTCCCCTTCAACATTAGTATCAAAATTCCAGATGAGGTTTTTAGTTTTTCATCTATGGAAGCAACAGACATAGCTGTTACTAGAAGAGTGTCCCTATGCAAGCCTTTTCTACCTACACAAAGGGACCTGCAGGCATCATGACTCACTGGATGAGTAGTGCAGCACTGGGGTGTGTGTGTGTGACAGATTTTGTTCCAAATCTGCACTACTGGCTTAGAGCCACCACAGACTGACAAGAGGTGCAAACCAGTAGGTTTAAATGCAGAAATTAAACTTAAGTTTCCATTTCCTCTACTCTGCCTCTAAAAGTCAGAGTCCAAGAACCAAAAACACCTTAAAAAGAAAAAAAAAAAAAAAAGATGCTGTCAGTTGTTCTGTTAATACCGTAAGTTTAAGTTTTTTCCTGTAAATTTGTTTGGTTTTGTTCTAAGAAAATACTATATAAAAATGATAAAAACCCCGATCACTCTGATCATATATGCAACTGCTTTTCCAAGTTACATTTTTTTTTTTTAATTTGGGAGATGTTTTCTATCTATCAAATGTAAGTATAAATGAAACACCATTGTTACCATTATAACCAAAGGACTACTTGTTGGGCATGATACTACAGAAATAAATATCCCCAGTCTTGCTGGCTGACATACACTTCCTTAACAGATACAAACACTGTAGCAGGGTGATTCTGGGTACTGTACACACAAAGACCTGTGTACTCCTTAGGATCATTATATCATGCTTCATCAGACAGTAAAGAGGAAAAGAAAATCTCAAAGCCAAAAGAATTGTTAAAGATACCTGATAACTGATAAAATTTCTTTACAATTTCCTTTTCTTGTTCATCAAAGAGCACCATGTCATCTTCATTCTCAAATACGGCTTTCAGGATCACAAGGAAACTAAGAAGGTAGTAAGGATGTCTCTCTGGTGTTTGAGTTTTTGTAACAAGAGTATCATAGCTTTGCCCCTGCTCCAAAGGAACACTGCAAATAATTTCATTCTGTAAACCACCATCACCTTCCAGAGGAAGTGCCTGGATATTACTCCAGGGAGAAGCATCATCTGCAGAATTAAAAGATTGTGGTATCAAATTTGCAAACTGTGTTTTCGTGTCTAAAGAAAATGTCACTTTTTTTTCTTTACAACTATCTTCCTCAAATTGTTCAACTTTAACATGTACCCCTTCCATACTCTCCTGCTTTTCAAGACAGTCTTGTAGAGAAGACTTTAATTTATTCTCAAGACTTCCATCTGGTGAAAACAGTACAAGAGCAGGATCTAAGAACCCAGGAGTGGAGGCTGATTTCTCACATTCTTGAGCAGTCTTGCTGTCCACTTCTCTAAGGGAATCACATTCAAAAACATTTTTCTTTTGAGAAGAATTTTCCAAAACTTGATCCTTGTTCTCAGCCTCTGAAGAGCAGTTAACCAAGCTCTCTGCCAATGTGGATAAGGAACTATGTACATTCCCAAGTCTCTGATTCCCAGATTCCTCATTCTTATCTACTGTGGCTTTAGCCTTTGTGTATTTTCTAGACAATTTGGATGACAGGCTTCCCAAAGCAATGACTTTCACATTGTGGTGTCTCAGTTCGTCTTGACTTCTGCACAGAAAATCATCATTTCTTTTAAAGTAACAACTTGTCACTTGTTTTATGCTTTTTCCTGAATCTCTTTGGCCTGGAGCCAAACTCCTCTTTAATGGTGACAGTTTCTTCGGAGTTGCATCTTTTAAGGTTGAATTCACTGTGGATGTATTTGAGTGAGTTAAATCAAGATCAGGGTCAACCAACATGGTATCATTTCTGTCAGCACAAATTTCATCCATGTGCCGGTTTAAGTCAAATCTTGGCACCATTTTACTGCAAATGGGACAAGCAAGTTTAGCAGGTGGGACATTGTTAAAATACGAAATAATAGAATTAGATCCTTTATTTTTCGTTTTGCTCACTGCTAAATTTCTACAAAGTCTTTTTGAGTCGGATTTTCCTTCTGACATCATGAGTAGTAGAAAAACTGGGTGTTTTGACTAACAAAACCGTTATTTCGGGCAGAAAACGGTAATGACAAACTTTTTTTATTTGCAATTTTTAAAAGGTGGCATTCTGACTGATGTCATGTGTTATTCGGGCAATTTCAATTCAGAAAACACACGTGAATTTAAAATGGGTTTTTTGTGAACTCAGCAGGGAAAAAGCAGGCTCTAGAACATGAAATGGCAGTTATCTTCTGGGATGCTCAGACTTCTGGGAGCCCGAACTGGACGACCATGGCGCTACCGCACACAATCTTCGGGTGTAGTTTGCTGTTACTTTGGATCCCTTTGGGGTAATTTCCAAGATCTCCGTACAGTCCAGAGTTTGGGGTTCCTAAAAAAATAAGGAAACACCTATTCCAGATACTCCAGACCTTTTCCTACAAGTACTGTTAAATGTACCCGCCCCTCCGCCAATCCCAGTCCTGCTTAGCGGCCCGCCCCGAGGCCGCTGAGAATGCACGGCATTCTCCAAGACGCCGGGCGGCGGGCACGCTTCATCTTCCCAAGAGCGTAAGGCTGCCAGGCCGGTACAGACGAGATGCGCTCCATGGAGACCGGACCCCGCACAACTGCTCCGCGCGAACGCGCGGCTACACACCCTCCAGCCTACCGCCTCGCTCCGCAGCCCACGACCTCCCAATGCGCTCTGCGGACCCTCTGGGCACCACCCGCGGGCCCAGCTCAGGCAACCCGCCTCGCTCCGCTGCCTGCGAGTTCCCCCAAGCCGCCCGTCTCGCTCCACCGCCCCCAAGCTCCCAAGTCCCTGCCTCGTTCTGCTCCCCCGGAAACGGCCTGGTTTGGCTCGGAAACTCCCCGTGGCCTCTGCGCGCCCTTCCGGTACCTGCATGATTCCACAACCGCTTGGTCTGGCTCCGCATGCCGCGAGCTCCCAGTGGCCTCTGCGCGCTGTGTTCCCAGGCATTCCCAGCCGATCCCAGCTTCTCTATTGACTACAGTCTTGTGAATGGAGGCTCGAGTGATCGAACTCCTTTCCCTTCCAATGTGTAAATTGTCTTCCTTATGGCTGAACTTGGCTGAGCACCGGTGGAAAGTGTGGACACCTCATTCCTTTTCACATCTAGAAAAGCTCCTACTTTGTGCCCAGATTATAGATATGGTTACAGATAATATGGCTATGAATAGGATAGAGATTAATAACCGAGGTGGGATGGAATGCTTGTTTTGGGTGCCATAGAGTGGATGACATCTCATAGAGACCATATGAACAATGGATCTGAACCCTGTCCTGTCCTGTGCCATCATCATCTCTGATGTTCTTGAGCCCATTGCTATAGTGATGATGTCAATCTATCTTGTTTAGGGTCTTCCTCTCTTTTGCTGACCCTTCACCATTCCAAACATGATGTCTTTTTCCAAGAATTTGTCGCTCTTAGAGGGAAGAAACAAACAGGTCTGTCTTAGAGAGGGTAAAGCCAAGTTGCTCCTTGGAAGCAAGGAATTTCAAGCCCCTCTCACATTCTTTTTGGAAGCAGGAGTGGCATTCACTTCCTAAACAACATGCTTCTGGAAACTCTATGAACTTTGATAAATGACGATAGTTATAGAAAGACTTCAGGGCCTTTTGCTTATAGGGTCGCTGTGAGTGGTGGTCAACTCAACAGCAATCAACAACAACAAGAACAATTCACATACTTTGGGCATGTTGCCAGAAGGGACCAATCCTTGGAGGAGGACATCATTGTTGAAAGGGTGAAGGTACAACACAGGAGAGGAAGAGACTCTGGTTGAGATGGATTGACTCAGTGAATGGAGTAATGGGAGTAGGTGTGTCAGAGACAATGAAATTAGCTTAAGATAGGGAAGGGTTCAGAACTATTATACATAAAGTTGCAATGTGGGGCAGGCAGCTTGAGGTCACTTAACAACAACAATGGTCATTGCAAATATTTGCTATGCATCAGAGACCTAGACTAAAGGCAACAGAAGAATCAATGCTTTTGAGTTGTGGAGCCAAGAAATCTACTAGACAGTCCATGGACTGCCAAGAGAACAGACAGGTTTGTCCTGGATGGGGTGAAACCAAGTTGCTTCTTGAAGGCAAGAATTTCAAAGCTCTATCTCAAACACTTTGAGATGTTGCCAAGAGGAACTAGTTATTGAAGAAGGATATCAAACTTGGAAGGGTGGAGGGTCATCACAAGAAAAGAAGACACTGGATGAGATGGATTGGCCCAGTAACTGCGGTATTAGAGTAAGGTGTGTTGGAAACAATGAGATGATCACAGGATAGGACAGGGTTCGGAGTTACTGTGCATAGGATCGCTATGATTTGCAGGTGATTTGGTGGCACACAACAACAACATATCCAAAAGATGTGAGACTGGCCACTCTCTGCTGTTCCCCTCACTCGACCCCTCGATGCTGGTGTACCTCAGCAAGTGGTCCGGGCCCTTGAGCCTGCAGGAGGTGGACGAGCAGCAACAGCACCCACTGCAGATCAAATACCGCGGGATGGAGATCGATGAGCTGCGCCAAGTGCTGACGCCCACCCAGGTGAAGAAACGCCCCACCAGTATCACATGAGATGGCCTGGATTCAGGTAAACTCTACACCTTGGTCCTAACAGACCCACATGCTCCTAGCAGGAATGACCCCAAGTTCAGGGAATGGCATCATTTTCTGGTCGTCAAAATGAAAGGCAAGGACATCAGCAGCGGTACAGTCCTCTCCGATTATGTGGTATCTGGATCTCCCAAGGGCAAAGGTCTCCACCGCTACGTGTGGCTTGTTTATGAGCATGAAAGGCCGCTGAAGTGTGACAAGTCCATTCTGAGCAAACGATCAGGAGACAACGGACGCAAGTTCAAGGTGGCCTCCTTCCACAAAAGGTATGAGCTCAGCTCAGTGGTTGCCGGCACATGCTACCAGGCAGAATGGGATTGACCGCGTGTCCAAGCTCTATGAGCAGCTGCCGGGGAAATAGAGCACTGAGACACCAGGGAGTTCCGGAGCCGCCTGGCCCCACTCTCCAGCTCAGTTAAGCATATAGATGTCTCCTCCTCCCAACTCCGGTTCTCATCAGTGACACACTTTCTGGTGCCCGCCCTTTAGCTTCTGGATATTCACACATGCTAGTTTGTATTCTGATCGGATTTGAAGTAAAATATTTGTGGGGGAATGTTTTGGTACCTTTATGGGCCCATCAAATATTATTATAAAAATAAGTGACCCCCCCCCAAAAAAAAAGTGACCCAGAGTTTAAAGAAGGGGGAAAATATGCAAATAAATGTACCAGGTTTGAAAAATATAGAGCATTATTGGGTCCTTAAAAGAGGCCACAGAGGCAGCCTGAATGGGCAGCAGTGCTGGCTGTGAGGCCTACAATCTGTGCCTGTTAAATTGATTGCTCTTCCTTGATATAACTGAAGCTGAACTGGAGTTGCTAAATGTTGTGTTAATTTTGCTGTTTCCTTAGAGTTGAGTAAAAAAAAAAAAAAAACCGCAAAAAAACCCCACAAAACCACCAGTGAGTGGACCAACAAAAAAAAAAAAAAAAAAAAAAAAAAAATAAAAATATGTGAGACCAAGTCTCACCATACTCACCTCTAAAGAGCACCCAGGTTGCACTTCCTCCAAGACAAACCCTGGGATATTCAGGATTCTTCTACAACACCACAATCCAAAGGTATCCATTCTTCTTCTGTCATCTTTATTCACTGATCAACTTTCAGATGTATAGCCAGTAATTGGAAAGACCATGTAATGGATCAGGTGCACCTTAGTCTTAACAATGACATCTTTGTTCTAAAGCACTTCAGAGAGGTCCCTGACAGCACATTTTTCTCAATGCAATGTCTTTTGATTTCTTGACTGATCATACCAAAAGTGTTGATGGTGGACCCAAGCAAGATGAAATAATTGGCAACTTCAATCTTTTCTCCCTGTACATGACGTCTAATAGAAACTTAAAATATGTGACTGCTAAACACAATATGCATCAGAGATCGGGACAATGACCAAGGATGACAGAAGAATTGATGTCTTTGAAGTGTGGTGCTGGAGAAGTATAAGGTTACTAAGGAAGGACAGAACCCAGTTCAGGTCAATTAAGAGAGTTTATTGAAGAGGAACTGCCTGACTGGCTCCAAGTACAGACCAACAGCTACTTAGAGTGAAGTTTTATGTTGTCTTACAAGGACATTCTCTGTACCTGCAGTGTGACAAACGCTTTCGGCGCGAGTCGCTTCTCTATTGTCTGGGCCGATTTCCGCCTGCCTGCGGCTTCCAGGCTCCCGTTCTGCCAAGCAGCATGCTCTCTGTGTCCCCGCAGCACCTCCCGACCGAGATGCTGCCCTGGATGTGCTCACCAAGTTGTGCCAAGAAATCTGGAGAACAACCACTTGGCCAACTGACTGGAAGAGATCTATATTTGTTCCC